ACGCCGCAATCCCTTCTCCTCCATTCTCCTCTCGGGATCTTGGGCACGCACGCACACGCGCCCGGCGTGAGTTTTAAGCCACCGGGTCCGGGACACGAACCGCGGTCGACTACGTGGGAGTCCAGCGACATAGCCATTACGCTAACTGCTGGTTCCCTACATCTGCTAAGCTTGAGTTGGACTTGCTGTTCCTTGGACATACCTTCTCATTACCCAGGTTTCAATATGTTCTTTTGCCTGGAGTGCGCCTTGATCCTTCACATCTGCCCCCTACCCAACCCTCTTTTAATACCTAACCTAGAAGTCCAGACACACCCATTGGAAGGGAACCCACGGAATTCATGACGTTTACACATCCTGTCCTTCGTTATATTATAGCAAGCTTCTTTCGTTCGTGAGGCTTGTGAGCTCCGTGAAGTTGTCCGTATTTCACAGCCTCCTTTGCTGTACCACCCCTGGGGATTCGAGTGTGTGTGTGTGTGTGTGGTGTGTACACACACACGTCAAGTGTTTAAATCTAGTATGTATTCTTCACACTGATATGCAGTGAATTAATTTAGTGCCCTTCTCAAATGTTGAGCACAAGGAAGCAAAAGATAAAATGCAAACCAGGAAACAATCACCACAGTGCTGTGTGCTTATCAGCCTTGGGAATGGATTTCTGGGAAAGCTCTGGCCCCTCCATCAAGTGACAGCAATGACTTGGCTCTTTGCAGGAATCAAGGAGAATCCTGACAACTAGTGGGCTGGGAGAGGCCGAAGGAAGCCAGCCCAGGGCCTGTGTGCTCAGAGCTCCCTGAGTCCCCTCAGGCTGGAAGGAATCTCCAGAAGACCTCTGGTATGTAGCCCCTCATCCGCTGCCTCAGCCTGCTGCCTGCTGTCCAGTAGCCAGAATTCCAGCTCACTGCTCTGTGGGCTGGACTGGGGGGCTTAATGGGCTGGAGATGGCTATCTCTTTGGTATCTGCAACTTGAACTATCTTGTGCCTTTGATTAATTTATGCTTGGGAGCCTCCTCAGTGCTGTCTGCTAAGTAGCTCCTTACTGTACACTTATCTCCCCACGGGCTTATTTCACAGACTGGAGCCTGCGTGCCTAACAACTTCTCCCAGGAAAACATTGCAGGCCACTTTTCCGGAATTGAGACTCTCGGGGGGCGGGGGGTGTCTTCCAAATGTCCATCTCTATTACCTCTTTTTGGTCCTGCATTTGCTTTTAGCTGAAAAAGGAGACGTTTTTTTCCGTGTGCTGTCCTGTAGACAGATGTGACTTGGAGTTTGAAAATCTGACAGCTGCTGCTGCTGAGCTTTGAATTCCAAGAGTGAGCAGCATATAGACATAACCCTGTAGAACATCAGATTGTTTTCCTTTCATTCCCAGAGCCTTCGTGTTTCTTTATCTTAAGAGTGACCTCACTGCTTTTTGTATTTGTAATGGAATGCACCGTCATTTACAAGTAATCACACAGTAATCCCTTACCCTTTTATGACACCTCACTCTTTTCCAGAGGGCTTTCACTCTCATTATCTCATTTGATCCTTATAACTGCTCTGAGAAGGAGGCAGAAAGGTTATTTTAATCTCTAATTTTCAAGTATAGAATCTGAGGTTTAAAGAAGTTAAATGGTTAGCCAGAGGTCAAAGAGTTAGCATGGAGCAGACTTGAATCTGGAATGACAAGTAGTCTAGCTCCGAAACCATATTCTTTTCACTACTTACTGTTTGTGACCTTGGGAATATTCTTAACCTCCCCAAGCCTCAGTTTTCTAGTCATGAAGTTGGGTATACTACTACCTGCTGGAATTGTTGTTAGAGGGGATTCAATGACACTGAGAAAGCATATAATAAACGATAAAGCATACTGCCAATGTTAAGACTTCACTGCTCTCACTGCGCAGGCCTCGAATCTAAATAATGCCACCAGGGGAACAGTAGTTGGCCTAATGGCTATGTCACTGGACTCCCATGTAGTCGACCGCGGTTCAAGTCCTCGACCCGGTGGCTTAAACTCACATGTGTGTACGTGCCCAAGAGAGAGGAGAATGGAGGAGAAAGGCCTGCAGTGTGGCCATCCCCTCTGGGGGGCGGGGGTGATTTCTCACTTTCTGTCTCTGTCTTTCTCTGTCTTTTTGGCGAGTGCACGTACCCTATAGTAAAAACCTCTCATAATAATAATAATAATAATAATAATAATAATAATGCCACCAGAACTGTGGAAGAAAACAATGTCTACACTCCCCTCTCCCACTCCCCACTCACTCCTTGAAAAAAAGACACCGAGGTCCGGAATGGTGCTGAAGTTGTCAGGGATCAGAGATCATTAGCTCCCAGCCCTGTGATCAGCAAAGGCTCTGCTGCCCAGCCTAGGGGCTATTTTGTTATTCTAAGAATTGTGTTGTTTTGTTATTCTAAGAGTTATGTTGGCAAGACCCCCTTTTCCTGCAGAGTGCTCTCTATTGATGTACCGAGGAAGAGCCTTGTATCCTGGAGATGGTTTTAGGACTGACAGGATCAGAGAGCTGGTTTAGGGAGCTAGGAATGGGCTCTGTGTCCCTGAGCTTTGCCCATGAGGTAGGAAAGTGGCATGAGCAGTGAGTAGTATAGGGGTAGATAATAAAACTCGTCTTGAAGGTCCATGTTTTTGTTTTGTTTTGTTTTGTTTTTATGATGGAGAATGCACATGAAATAGAAAGAGGGGGATAGAGATTGAGTGAGTGAGAGAGAGGCTCTTGACAGGCTCTCATTATGTCATGATCATGTTTCCGCAGTCCTCTAGCTCCTAGGATGCTGGGTGCCCACTGCACACCCAGCATGTTTTTTATTCTATTTTATTTTATGTTTGAGAGTTTTTTTGCTATAGGGTGTGTGGGCTCGCCAGAAAGACAAAGAGAGACAGAGAGACAGAAAGTGAGAAATCACCCCCCAGGGGGTATGGCCACGCCGCAATCCCTTCTCCTCCATTCTCCTCCCAGGATCTTGGGCATGCATGCACATGTGCCCGGCATGAGTTTAAGCCACCAGGTCTGGGAATTAAACCACATTCGACTATATGGGAGTCAAGCAGCATAGCCATTATGCTAACTGCTGGTCCCTTTAAGCAGATCTGGGAAAATGGACCTGTCATGTGGTTTCCAGCCTTCCAGAGCACTGTTACCACTGTTTTACTTTCTCACTAAACTGAAGAAGTCCATCTGACTGGGATTTAATAGGGTTCATCCAGTGAGCCCACAGGGTCAGCAATACATACGTTGAATAGGTGCTTAGCAGTAATGCTTGGGAAACCCAAAAAGGATGGATTTCAATCTGGTAGCAAATTCATTAGGAGTCAGCGGTGTGATGTGGTCAGGGGAACAGCCAGAGTGCTTGAGGGCTGAGGTCTTAAATGGCATTGTTTCTGTATACATCTTCACCTACAAAAATTCCAAACCAGTGAGATACACATAGGATGACATATGGCTTTCTGAGGCAGAATGAGGAGCAGGAGGTTGAAGCCCAGGAAGCCAGAATTTGGTTCCATATAAGGAAGAATCTTCTGGTGGAAAGACGGAATTAGCAGCTATAGGAGATAATGATCTTCGCCTTGCTGGAGACCTCACAGATAGCGTGGGGGGATTCTTGGGCAAGGCGGGCATTGCTCAATGGCCTTTATGGCCTTTCCCATGTTGAGTTCACGGGGCCTGTAGTTCTTGATGGCCAAGAGGAAGCAAGGCATGCACACACTTTGCACATGTGGAAATTGGTCTCCACATAGTGTTTGCAAAACGAAGGGTAATTGTGGCCTCTCAGTTTGGTTTTCATGTCTATCCTGTTGGCTCACCTATTGGTCCTTGGTTTTGAGAGCTCCCAGTTCATTCCTAGGCAGATATTTTTCATGGAATGTTTCTTTCCTCTGCTGAAATGTTCCTGTTGAGACACCAGAAGAGCCTCTGTGCTCCTTACAGTGAGGATCATCGCTTTACCCTCTTCAGATCTGCCTTGGAGACCCTCTGCGAGGGTAGCAGTGGTGAGACCTCTGTACTGAATTCTGGTTCTGGTGTGTGGTCAAAGGCCCTTTGATCTTGTTTCTCTACCCATTTTAATGGTCATATATTTGAGTTCATTTATTAAACATGTAATTAATAAGAAATGTTAGCTTATGGCATGCTTATTAAACTACAAAACAAATAAATGAAATAAATGCATGATGACACTTTGGATAGACCAAGTAGAAACTGCTTTTAGAGCACATAATTGGACAATTTGCAGATGAGAGAATGTAACAAGAGGAGAACTGACTTGTCCAATAACTTAGTGAGAAACAGATTTACGTTAAGGCCTTGGGTCCCCTCCCTCACTCCCTGATCAGTGCTGCTTGAAGCTTGAAGACTCCCTGGAGGTGAGATTGAGCAGTGTCATGGTGCAGGCCCAAAGGCCAGGAAAGAGCTGATGATTCTGAAAAAGGGCTCATCTGTCCTCCAGAAAGCGCTACAGTCAACAGTGGGACCAGCGCACACTGACTCAGAACCACTGGGAAGCACAGAACGGTAGTCAGTTGCTTTCCCTGAGCTGCCTCATACCTTCCTTTCCCCAGTCCTTTCTCCTCCTCTGCTTTAGTCCAGAGTCATTTTAGAGCAAATTCATTCCCCATTGGCTTCCCTGGTCTGACTTCGTCATTGAACACTTCGTAAGACCTCAGGGTTGGAATTAATTTTACAAATTAAACTGGGCATTCACCTTCCCTGCCCTCAACAGCAACAGTGTTCTCCTGAGTCTGGCTTTATTCTGGATCTTCAAGCCTGGTGTCTATCCTGGGAATATCTCATGCACAGCTAAGTTCTCAAGAGGACCCCAGCCCAACAGAGTCAGGGATGGGACTGAGGAGAGGGGTGTTTGAGGATTCATTTGCCACCCTAGGAACTATGGTTGAAAGTCCTTTTGACCTCGGGTGTATCCTCCAAATTAATAGATTTGTTTTGTGAATGTTGCATTCTGGGGGTCCCATACACAAACCAGTTTCTTCTTGTTTGAGTGAGGGAGGCCTTTTCCTACAACAGGACTGCTTATGGAACAGTCGTGCGTCCATTTCTTTGGGGGTTAATGATTTACTCAGAGTAAGGAATTCTGTTTTAAGTGGGGCATGTTCTTCAAGTGCCAGAGGAGAGAAGGGTGATTTTTCTGACATCCTCTAGCCTGCTTCTCCATATTTGGCAATGTTTACCCACCACACTGATCTATTGGAAGGGAAGGAGGTGACTCAGGGTTTAGGAGAAGCAGGATTTGAATTCTTGTTTCCAGAAACAAAATCGCCCCCCACCCCCACCCTTCCCTCTCCATTCCTCTGCCCCTTGTTCTGGAAGCCGAGGCGAGAAGGTCTCAGTTCTGTTTCCCTCAGGCTTCAGGACCACCTCTTTGCTGTGTCCTGTAATGGGACTGAGGGCCTGTGACAGGGAGTGAGGGGGAGCAGAAGGGCAGCTGCCCGCGGGGGCCAGCCATCGCGTGAGTACATCATTATTGCCAGAGCGAATGGCATTTCTGCTGGCAGACCTGGGGCTTCCAGCCCTGTGGGCTGACTTGCTTGCATGGTGATGGGACATATTGCTGGGAGTGCTGGCTGCTTTAATTTGGGGTGTGGACAACTGCTTTCCCAGGGGATTACGACTCATGGTGGGATTTATAGCTCAGATTTGCCTAAAGAAAAATTCTATTTGTATGTAAATATTAGACAGGTATTTCCTTCCACAGAGGCCTGATTTGAGTTGGGCGTAAAGATCATTTGGGACTGTTGTCCATCAAGTCAATGTGTCTGTGGACTCTTGAGTAGGGATAGCTTTAGCTAAAAAATAAAAAGCAGTTATGGTTGG